GCCGTAACACACATAGAAAAAAAAATAAAAAAAAAAAACATACAGACGAATTGAGTACCTCCTTCTTTTGGGAAGTCGGTCAAAAATGGAACTAAAAAGACAACAAGGTTGCTGCAAGAACTACAGCAGCAGGAATTTAGAAAATAATAAAAAAATGTACATTCATTTGGTTATCGTAGAATATCTACTAGTATCTCAGCTTTAACTAGATAGAACTAACTAGACAAAATACGGTATTTAAGGAAGACGTAATCTCCGTTGTATAAGGATGTAGTTAGTATACCTTCTTAGTTGTTTTAAATTAATTATTATTTTGCTTACTTTCTGTGCGATGACGTCTCCCTGGTTGTCGATGTAAAACTGCGCCGTGTGTATATGACTCAGCGATATATTCAATCTCCTTCTGTACGGTATTAATTGTAATTCGAGTTCAGTCAATTTGAATACAAGATCTGCTCTCAACTGCTCCAATGGTTTTATATTACTCATATAAACTTTTTCTGTACGTTTAGCTGAAAAGCAAAATATAATTTTAATGTCTATAAACTCTGATTTAGTTTTTTGGTATACCTCTTTCGGACGAAGGATTTGTACAGCAAATAATTTGAACGAGTTATCCGGGTTTCTTTTTCTAATGAGGTAGCGCGTATTGTGTTTCTTTATTTTAATTATCCTCAATTTACATTGCAGGACTTCTTATTGTTATAGTATCAGAACTGGCCATTAGAATTCGCCAAAATATGGCCACGTAAGGGACTACTACTTCAAGTACCTACAGGTTTATACAAAAAATTCATCCTCATAAAAATTGACGTTTTTAAACAACCATAACTCACCTAAAGTTTCGAGCCTTCCTGACGTTGTTAAATCAGATACTTGCGCTGCGACATTCTCCAACTGATCTTCTAAAGCAGGCAGGTCCTTTCCAACAACTGGATTGTTATACTCCATCCTTAAATAAAAAAAATGGATGAGATTTGATTTGTTAAATGCAATAAAAAGGTCAATTTAACTACTGTATTTTCTTGTGCACGTTATCATAAGTTTTATCAAAGAAGTAAGTAGAAATTTAAATTGATGTAATGGAGGTGTTCCATACTTACCTGTACAGAGGCAGATTAACATTAGATTTCACAAGAATCTCATTAAGTATTCTGTTAAATGGAGCGGATATTGATTTGAGGAAGCTGACGTCGACGGTAGTAGACAGACGTCCCAGATCCGCCTGCAGCTCCTCCCATTCGAAGTAAGATGTCTCTTTGTTAACATCCAAGATTCTGTCGAGTTGAAAAACTACGTACGCCGGTCGGTTCCGCTCGCAGTCTCTGAGCAAGGGAACAGGTAAGCAGTTTTATTTGCTACTCGAGTTGAAACTTTCTTGAAACGAAATGTTAAAACTTTGTAACGTATTGGGAAATGTTTTCAACTCACACAATAAGTAACAGAGGTATAGCTTTAGAATTAATTTTAGATTAAGTTTTCTATTAGAAGTAACAAGTATAAGTAACATCTGAGTCTGTGGTGTTAACTGACTTCTATTAACTGGTTAAACGATTGCTACTAAATTCGTGATTTTACAAACCTCAGTACATCCCTTACTGAAACTTCAATGGTGACGTTATCAAGATCTCTGAACAATGCGTCAAAGAATCCTTCATTGTTCTGCAGCAATGGTGATGGTTTATCCAAAAGCTTTGATAGAGTTTTATACTGAGCAGCATCCCTAAGCGTTTGACATACAAAAACCTGTTAAAGCAAAAATTCCACTATTATTTTTAATTTCTGTCAAAGATGGCGTACAGCGTAGGTGCCTTTCATTTTAAAATGAGCAAAGATATGAATAAACAAATGGTGGCAATTTATTTAAAGGCGCTGAACTTTTATTTTGTTTCTTTTTTTCATAATTATTCGTCACTTCATTTTATCTGTAACCAACTTGCAATATTTTCCTTTAAATGCCGCATTAATCAATAACACATTATCCTTACACAATAAAATAAAAAGCCAATATTTCAGTAACACGTAGTATTATACCTCAGCGTGGCCTGCGATAAGAAATACAGCGGAAATCACGCTCCATAAAAGCAGGGAGGCGAAGCATAACCACACGGCAGATCTGAAAGATTTACTGAAAAATGTACGAACATACGACCAAGACATTTATTTTTAAAATAACTTAAAATATGAAATGAAAATCTTAAAAATATAAATTTTAAGTTCATTTTTGTTTATACGAAAAAAGTTAGAGTCTAAGATAAACGATTACAGAAGTTTCTCGACATAAACCGAACAAGAGTCCATTTACGTCAAGAATAGCGTCGGAGACTTTTCTAGTGCTAAAAAATGTGTAGGAAAGGAGATGATTATATAGCGTGTCTCTGTTTTTACTTACAGTTGCAATGTCCTTTTAGCGTGTATCTTCGCTTTTCCACATCCACAAAGCATGGCTGCCAACATCAAAATCATGACCAACGCGCACACGACGGTGCATACTGTAAAATATATAACATGTTTCAATAACACATTAGTTACTGTAATTTACATAATTAAGTAATTATTTTCATATTCTTCCATCTTTTCCATTATAAGAAATAGTCATAAAATGTTTAGGTCAGTAACAGCTTGAATGCAGATTATTGAGATTAGCATATAACCGTATATGACCTTGAAATTAAATATGCCAAAAACTTGTTACAAAACGTCTACTCGTGACAAGTCAATCGTATGTAAGTTATATTTAATTTATAATGTAATAATTCTAAAATTATTCTTTAAATTTCTTTTGATTCTAAATAAAATTAACTTAATTTTATGGATGTGAATTTGAAGAGTTTAATATTTTCATGGTTAAAGTTGCGAGATGTTTCAAGCAATCATGGTTCTCTGACCATCAAACGCGTTAAAATCTGTAATATTAGTTTATTTTAAATATGTAGTGTTCATGTTAGTATAAGAAATTAAGAAGAATATTACGCAGCGTGCATGTCAAGGTGAAAATCATTTAATTATAAAATGCTTAAAATTCAAGGCCTCTTAATCGATGTCAATAGTTCTCGGAGATTAAACTGGTCCGGAAGCTTTGATCGATTATGTTTTAAGCAATTAAAATTTATTGTTTGGGAAATTTCCTGTTTGTTTATTTTATATAACATAAATAATTAATATTCTCCACAGGACTTCAAAAAGTAATATTAAAACTTGTGTTTTATATAAAATGAATGTACCTAACATGAAAATCCATCTCCAAAATTCGTATATTTGTATTCTTTCAAAGCTTTCATCAAGTTGTCGGGAAAAGGAATGTAAGCTGGCGGTCAGGTACCGCACAATGTCGCTTAGGATTCTAGCTGAACTATGGACTTTGTCACGACGAATTTCTATGTCACGGAGGATACCTGAAAGAATTTGTATATAAATTAAACTTTAATTAGAATAATATCTACCTTCATCAGCCTACCTTCGGAAGGTGGGTAATGAATATACTACTCCTCCATACATTTCTATATGCCATTATATCATAATTCTTTCTTTTTTTACGTAATTTTTTTTCAGAAAATCTGTTCATAACATTTAATTTCATATATTATATATCCAATTGCTAAATATCCAAAATGGATTTCGCAAAAAGGCTTAAAAACGAATACAAGAATTCCTAAATCACCGTATCGTTTGAAGTTCTAGTTATTAAACGTTTGAGGTCAATATGGACGGACTTCATATTGACAAAAACATTCCTCCGATATTGGTGCGACCTCATATAGAATCGATAGAATCTTTTGACAGATTAAATAGAGCAGGGGTAACAAACCTTTACGTATCGACGTTCTATTGTTTTAAGAATTTTTTAATGAGGTACGTGTATTATTGGTCCGCTATTCGCAAGGGTAATAGTTTACAAAGACTACGTAAATGTATTAGTTGGTATGTAAAATCGAATAATAAGTATATTATTATTGATCGAATCTCATAGCCAATGATATTCCTTAGTGATGGATTGTTTAATGCCCGTGTAGGAATGCTTATGACTGCTTCAAATCAATTAATCATCCACTAACTAGCTTATTCCTCACGACTCATGAACGTAGGCGTTCGATGGATACTTGGTTTTACATTATAGAAGGGCTGATAATGGTCTGATTTATAAATAAACGTTTTTCTTTCATGATACTGACGTTTTATCTCTCTGAAAGTAGCCTAGTATTATTAAATCGCAATTTATTAAGAGTTAGATATTTTAGAGTTACATTGCAATAAATTAAAAACAAGTTTACTTACTATCTCTTACATGTTTGGTCTGTGTTACAACAACTGAAGGTAAAGAACGCAGTTCCTGTTTCGCTGCGGCAATGGCAAGCGTCAAGTTGTCTACACCTAGAACTCGAAGCTCCAATAACTGCTGTTCTTTTAATATCTGTAATAAACATTACACATTATCATTTTTAGGTTCTCAAACAATATGTGTTAAATAAATAAATAGTTTAAAATAACAATTTCATTTCCTATTGATCCATACATATGTATCAGAAGATATTGTAAATGTTCAATATGACTATAGAAATGGATTATTTTTTCAGCTTTTGGCCACTAATCAGTTCCCGTAGAATTAAAACAAAAATTAATGTGATTTTTGACTACTATCCTCCTCATCCATACCAAATTTCATCAAGATCCGTTAAGCCGTTTAGACTACAAACGCTAACAAACATCCATCCATCTAAACTTTCTCATATATAATATTAGTAAGTAGTAAAGCAATAATTGTGAGCTTTATTAAGTAGAAATAATTGGTTATTTACCGAGTTGAACTTCAATTTGAGCTCCATAGAATGTGTGTTAATTGTACCACAGAGTGGGGCGTCTTTCGGCGAGCATTGTTTCTTCAGGCCGTCTATTTGTCTGGCGAGGTCATTCAGTCTTTCCGCAGCGACTGCCGCTAATGTTCCCGCCTTAACACTTATGTTCCGCAAAGCGGACACTTTCGATGAGAGATCTTCACTTTCTGAAAGCGACGCAAAAAATCTTATGTGTAATTCATGAAAATGAAAATGACAATGCTGAAACTAACATGGTATTGTTCTCTTATGCTTCGTTTTATAATACTGAGTATCTTTACCATTTTGAAAACTTATTCGACGCGTAAGATCCAAAAATTACCTAATTTATTCTGTAACTAGCTGTTGCCCGCGACTCCGTCCGCGTGGAATTAAAAAAAACAAAACTAACCTATTTGTTCTTCCAGACTATCCTCTACATCCATACCAAATTTCATCGAAATCCGTTCAGCTGTTTAGGCTACAAACTCTAACAAACATCCATCCATCTAAACTTTCGCATTTATAATATTAGTATGAAGTATGATAAGTGTTATTACATTATAGTCAAAACATTTTTTTGTTAATTCAATGCATATTTTAATTTTATTGTTAAGAGAGTATGCACTTTATTGAAATTCAGTTAGTGGATAGCTATACATTCGTGAAGTCTCCAATAGTCCTTTACTAATGTTAGAATACGACTAACGCCTTGTATAGGTGGGTTGTATGGCTCACGTAGGACAATTTCGCATTTCAATAGATACCTGCTATTATGTCGGCTAAGGAGTCCAGAACCAAATCGATACCGCTCTCCGAGGATATAGCTTGTTGTATTGGCTCGCCTAGGAACTTGTCGACATCTGGTAACAAATATGTATACATTAATAAATCTATGCATTGCAGTTGCACAAATAAAGCTTGAAAAGAAAATTTTATTCTGAACAAGACTTTGTAATTAAACAAATCGTATACAGTTTTTGATAAAAATTGTATGTGTCTTAGAGTTAGGTTCACAATCGGATTCAGTGATTGCTCTAATTTTTCCTCCAAACTTCAAATACTTCTTCATTTCCTTATTCAATATTTAGAATATCTTTGTTACTTTACAATCATATTTTGAAAAAATAATTACTTAATTACTTTTGTTTACACAAAAAAAAGGCACAATTTAATATATGAATTTGAAGTAAAATTTTATTTTTGTTATCTGTTTCAAATGGCTTCGTGTAACAATAAACGTGAAGGTGTATGTTGGGTAAAATTCAATTTGGTAAGGGTACGCTACCATAATGTAATCCTTTCACCTTTATGAGAGCCGTTTGCTACAGAATTGATACAATACACCTTCACATGTAAATACGCAGCTATGAAAATGTTTAGGCTTTACAGTACCATGTTAACATGTTTCTCTAGTAGTATTAACTTCAGGAAAACAAATATGATAGTTTACGCGCCTATAACCCAAGGTTGAAGGTAATCTTACATTTGTTAGTTCGTATCATGTAACTAACTGTTCCCGTGCAGCTTCATTTGCGTCAATTTATGAAAATCTAATTTTAACCTTTACATTTGTCAAATTATCACTTGCAAATGTCAACATGACATGACTTGACAAACCTTGGCAATCTTACTTCCTTGATGTTGGCAGCAGCTTATGGTATCTTTTCCACATTAGGGTTTTTATCCAATTTATTTACCCCCTAAGTTTAAACGCGTGAAAATATATAGCCTAAAACGTGACATAAGTGTACGAGTTTTTAATAAAAAAGGATTATTTAAAAATATGCTGTGATTGCTGACATTTTACGCCACAAAGATGTGTGTGTTTAAGCTTATTATTAGTATAGATTTATTCTACTTTCGTGAAACATATACAAGCATCAATTCTAGCTTATGTGGTTAAAAATTTAGTAGGTAGATTAAAATTTTTCGCTGATATTTTCCAAAAAACAAAGTCTATTGCCTATGTATACGAGTAGTATACATTATGACGGTCCATCTGAGTGTCTCTGAAACTTAAGATCTGCCCTTGCCATTGTATGAAAAAAATTTCACACTTTTCCCGAGACTCGTTAAAAAAATATATGGAGACAAATAACTGTTTGATATTCGCGGACCAACATATTTCTTCACGTTTGGAAGATCATGGAAGGCCCTCGAAAGGGTTACTTTCTTACAATAACCTGTATCAGCATTTCAACGTGAATAAGTTTTTCCAAGGGAACGACATGTTTTATTTCTTATTTTCGGAAGACACTTATCTTCAATACAAAATAAATGTGTTAAGTTAAGCTTAATATAATTTGATGTTTTTGATCATTTCTTCTGTGACGATGTGTCGATGTAACTCAGTAGATATGTTGTATTACTTACTTTTCAAGTCCTCTTGGTATGCGTAGAGCACAAGATCTACAGGTGGCGCCAGACTGTAATGCAGCTCTCGTGCAGCGACCGACAACCACGTGGCGATGTCTGCGCACGCGCAGTTCACCACGTTGCGACTACCCATCGCTGCCACGTGCGACTGTTCGTTGCTTAATACCATACCGCATATAAGCGTGCTGAAAAGTAAAATAAAATATTTTTACATTAATAATTTAAGTGTTATATGGAACATGTATTAAAACAATTTAGAACAAGTGGTGCACATACTTTACGAACTGTTATCGAACTTTTTAATATTTTTTAAATATAAGACTATACTTTAATATTAAGTAAATGTAAGGAAATATAAAAAGGATAACAAAGGTTAAATTTCCTTCAATAAAAGTGAAAGGAAATTCATTGAGAAATGCATGTCAATTGTCCCCTCGGGTCACTCTGTAGAATACTCGGGCGACCCTTATTATGGGCTTATTGTACGCTTCGATCTCTTCCCGGCCTTATTCACCTAAAAGCTAGGCATAGTGGGAGTTGCGACTTCCCAGATAAGCGCATTAACTTTTATAAAGGATGAACTATAGAAATATTTTTAGCTCTACTTCTATTCAGAAATCTCTTTTACTCTTAACTGTTCGATTTTTATTTGTAAACAAATTTAGGACTAAATGTCTAAAAGGATCTACTTACTTGATAATTACTTGGGTAAATTAAATATTGAATTTTAACGTAATATAACCTTACCAACATATTATAACTGTAAAGAACGTCATAAAGACCAGTAACTTGTCAACACAATTTGAACCTTCTTGGTCTGGGAACAAAGCTCCTGATTCCGCTTCGTCGCTGCAACTTGACTTTGACAGGAGTGATATTATCGCCAAAATGATGAGATACGTCGGTATTATTAAAGCAATGCAGGCGAAAAGTACGATAAAGGCTAAGAAAGTTGACTCCACTCTGATAGACTGAAAAAATTGTAAAAATGAACCATTACATTATTTGAAATATTTTTTCAATTACATTAACATACATTAATTAGGTTTCATAATATACTGTAAAACATAATAAATCTATAATAACACAGTACAGACGTATTTTTTTTTATTTTTGTATTTATATATTGAAATAACTCAAAAACCACTGGACCGATTTCAAAACTTCTTGCACCTTTTAAAAACTACGTTACTATTGTGGGTAGTAGACATATGCTATATTTTTTGATTTCACGCGGACGAAGTCGCGAGCAACAGCTAGTATTTAATAAACTTTCAAAATTTATATTAAATTGTCGAGTAAGGCTTTAGCATCTGTCAACCGATAATTCCAATTAAACGGATGTACTAATGAGGTTAAAATTTTTTTAATTACATTGACTTAAAGTTCATTTATGCTGAAGGCTTTTTGCAAATTCACCGGATTGAATAATATATGAATACAAAATCACTGGAACAATGCGAATCGTCGATGTAATTAGGAAATGGCTGATACGTTTTCCTTTAGAAGAAATGAGCTCTTTTGTAAATGACTAGCGGTGTATAACTAGGGTTGCCAATTTTCTGATTCCATTAAATTTCAAGATTTTCATTTGTTTTAATAAATAAATGTGAATGTTTATTGATAAATAAAATATATTCACAGGTTCATCCAGATATAAAAATAAAGAAATCTCCTGTTAATAATCAATGTCCTTTGTTACTTATGATTTATTATTAATACGAATAAAAAAAAACAACTGAGTTATTTACTAGCATAGCGTTAGCATTAATTTATTATTTTCATTTGTTTAATTAAATGGTGACAAAATAAAGACAGCATAAAAGTGTGCAAAAAATCACTTCGCATATTTTTATTATTTAATTGTCGACAACCCTAGATATAGCGGATATAACCCGGAGTGCTTATTTAACACGGAATGGTTTTTAAAGCTTGTCGGATAAAACTTTTCTTGTAATGTTTAATTTGCGGAAGTAAATGTTTAGAGATTACTTAGTTTAATTGCGAGAAGGACCAAGACAATATTCTTTGTATTTCAATACAGCCTGCTACACACCAACAGATATAACTGCACAGTTAACTTTTTGCCTACACATCTTTAGTAAATCACAAACTGAAAGTGTGTAGTTGGTGTCATAATGTATAATACATAATTGATAATAAAATAGTGTTGTAACTTTAATAAATAATATTAATTAATAAAGAAATAAGTTTGTATTTTTTCTATTACGCAAACGCATGCGATTTAACAATTTTAAAGCTATAATGCATTTATTATTGTTAGAGGAAGTAGTAATTAATACAATAGTCTAAATGCTATTGGATTATATCTATAATGTTTGCATATTTACATCTATTTAATAATTATTTTCATAATTTTAATTCAAAGATTTTAGTTTTATATAGATGTTTACACCGGTCAGTGCAATTTATTGCATCTAGTGTACACTACAGAATTGGCATTGACATTTTAAAAGGCTTGTTTCCTGAAACTCAATATCATAAAGTTGACACTGCCGAGATATAACGAAGTAGATCGTGTTAAAAGCTAAAACAAAGTGTACTTCGTATCTTTATTGTCGACGAGCGTGCCGTTTCTTAAATCGAACTGCTTTTATCTTAATTTTCTCGCTTCTACTCTTCCTTCTCTATTTGGTATTTTATAATACACTAGCTCACGACTTCATCCGGATGAATGAAAAATAATAAAAAATGTAGTTACTCACTAACAACTTAGCTGTTTTATGGTAAAAGAATTTTTGAAATCTGCCCAGTAGATTTTAAGATATTTCAAAACATACAAAAATACAAATATATCTTCAAAATATTAGTGCAGATATTAAAAAAATATATAATGCCAATTTTTTTATTAATAAAAAACTTGATATTATCGATTAGTAGAGACAATGCTAATTATAATTCAATTTTTCAATTCTTATAAAAACCAAACTGACAGGCGTAACTCGTTTAAGATCCTTGTATTAAGAACTATAACTTGTTTGTTTAACTTTTTTTACCCACAGTAATTTTTTACTCACAAAATTTTAATGTTGGTTACTTTCCATGTTTTAATAGTAAATAAAGTTTTGGTAACTTTAACTTTTATTAAAAAATAACGTGATCCGTATTATGTTTTATTTGTTTTTAAATAAACAATATGGCCATCGACAACAAATTAAAATAGTAGCTGTTAACTAGACAATCGTTTTTAAAATGATTTCCTGACTCAAACTCATGCATATTGTAAAGCTCTCGAACAAAAACTCGACTCAAATTATCGCATATTTAAATTCACAGTCCAGTTTGCTTTAGATCACAGTGACGACTGATCGCTTATATATTTTTGTACAGTTCCTGACATTATTTTATTAAAAAAATATGTTTCTATATACATTGTTTATAACAACTTTAGTTGTTTTACAATCTTGCATCAGCTATGCAAGAATAGCACGTGAGTGTTAAATATTTATTGTTTAAAATTTTTATTTGTGTTTGTTTTTAAAGATTTTTATAGCGTATTTTACTGTATATTAGAATTAAAGTACTTTTTAAAACGTAGTTTTGGTGTATCCATATTTATTTGATCAACAGATTTTTTACATCTTAAAAGCTGGAATTTACATTGAAAGTTTGAAGCCAGGCTCAATTTTTAACCATACTCAAAAAGGAGGAAGTTTTCAATTTGTTGGGTTTTTTATTTGAAACTTCTAAAATGAATTTGCAATGAACCTTTAATTTTTAACAGAAAAAGGACTATATAAATTGCTTTTATTTTCAAATCTTTTCAGCTGATTATATAACCCCGTGCGTGGGACTAAAGCCCGTCTGTCTAAAGAAGAACATTCAAGAAACAATTCCGAGATTTGTTAAAGGTATCCCGAGTCTTGGTGTCAATTCCACCGATCCTCTGACGTACGACTACGTTAATGTAGAACTGCCTGGTGGATTGAAAATTGAATTTAAAGATGGTGTACTAAAGGGACTTCGAAATTGCTTAGTCAATGATGCTCAGTAAGTGAAAATGTATTTCATATTTAAGGTAAAGATGAATCTCATGAAACAAGAAGGACGTTAGTTATGAATGTGGAGGTTCACCGGTCGAGACAGACCTAGAAAGAGATATCCATCTCTTTCTAGGATTGCGTAAAAGGTGACATGATCAAGAACGGAGTGATGACTGAGATGACGGATGACAGAGTTATTTGGAGGACGAAAACCCGCTGCGCCGTCCCTACTATCCGTCAGGGGAGATGATGGTAGAAGGATAAAGTCATGTTTTATGTTATTTAAATTACAGATAGGCTTTCTTTTACTTGTGTCAATCTTCAGCCAAAATCCTATTTTGCATTTTAGCTAAAGGTTTACTAGAATAATTTCACCAACATCAACCTTGAACGGATAAGGAAATACTTTAACGATCTATTTTTTATAGTAAACTTAATCTTTATGACTTTAGTTGACAGCAGTTATGGCACAAATAAAACCAAAATACCCACAAAATTCATACCCGGACGTCATAAAAAATAAAGTAAGGTTCACAAAACATCAACATCGTTTAGTCGCTCACAAAAATTGCTGTTATTTGTTTTTGTTCGACTACAGTTCCCTACTTTAATCAACAATTTATTGTACTAGAAAATATTTTGAGAATGATCTGGTTGTCAGGTAAACCTTGATCTGATGACCTTGTAATTTTAAATGATATTGCTGGTTGTAAAAATCGGAAACCGCATGTTTCCGCATTATGGAAGGCTTATGAGCAGCGGTGGACTGTCATCAATGTTGATAATTTCGTACAGTTAACTAATTTTTCTTCGGAGAGCTAATTTTCCTAGAGTATTCCATGATCTATCCTCACGCTATATGCGCTAGCCATGGAGTTGCGAAAACTGAAGCCCCTACTACTACTAATTGTTAACAATTATTCTATATAGTATTTCTTACAGATTCCAAAACAATGATGCCGAAGTCGAGTTAACTTGTAATACCACAATCAAAGGAAAATACAAAGCACAAGGACAAATACTTATTATCTCAATAAATGGAGACGGGGACGCTAAACTAAAAATAAGTAAGAATTTTCATAGATTTAACTTTTAGAAGAAACCGTTAGCGAGTAACTTTAAATGTTACAATTCATTGTAGTTTTAATCTATTATTTACTAAGAGAACCAGATTTGTAGATAAGTTTGTTTATTTTTAGATTCAAGGCTTTATTGACATTAATAACGGAATTATACATTTTAGTAATAATCAATTTTATTAAACTTCTTTGAACGTATTAATCGTAATCAATTATTATTAAGCTGGTAACTGTGTTTAAAAGTGCATTTTAAAAGTCAGGGTCACTTAAAAGTTGTTTTATTTTTCAGCTGACTTGAACCTTAAAATAAAGCTTAAGTTCATCGACAGTATCCGCAACGGGGTAACTTATTATGATATTGAAGATTACAAAGTATCTTATAACATTAAAGGCAAATTACAATTCGCGCTTACTAATTTGTTTAAAGGAAACCCTGAACTTGGTAAGCATAATATAAACGGAGCGTCGGTAGCTCAATGGTTTAAGCTCTTGACTTGTAATCTTAGTCTTGGGTTCGAATCCCGCCATGTACCAATGTGATTTCGATTTTTCGAATTTTCATATGTACATAATTTACCTCACTTTCTCACGGTGAAGATAACATCGTCATGCAACCTGCACATTTCGGCGAAGGAATTCAAAGATATGTGTGAAGTCAACCAACTTGCACTGGGCCAGCATGGTTGACTATGGCCCAGTCACGCCATACTTAGGGTAGGCTCCGAGCCCCTCGGTGGGGACGTATAGTGAGCTGGTGATGAATATAAATAATCAAACCTTTTACAAAAAGGTGTTTGACTTGAAATTGTTTCTTTTGTCTTCAGGTCAAACAGTGTTGGCGTTCTTAAACGAAAATTGGAAACTTGTAGATGCTGAATTTGGAAAACCGTTATTTGATATTGTCATCGCCATTGCATTTGACAATGTAAAGAAGTTTTTCAGTATGATACCAAAAGAGGAACTTGTAATGTTATAAGTTAATTATGAATGTATTTTTAATGTAAATTGCGTTATAAATGAGAAAAAACTCTTAGAAAACAATGCAGGTAAATGGAATTATGGGCATTAAACAAAATAATTGCTTGGTCTAGAACTCAAGCTTTCTAAACTAAAGGGGTTTGTTGTTTTCCTATTATTTTAGTCAGAACTTTTTTTTCTATTCTATATTTAAGTAAGTTTGACTTGAATATTATTATATGTAAATAAATAAGTTGAATAGAATTAGTTCAAATTATGAATATGTTATATATTTAATTTAACTTAATTATTAGAAAATATGTATAAATAAAAAGTAATTATAGGTACCTGAATAAAAGACAACGGAAATGTTATTTTTCCCCAAATAATATCCTTAGCAAGACCTACCAAAACAAAAGTATAGTAAGTTTTTACAAACACAATAAATTTAAAGACACTTCTTAATTAAAATCAACTTTTCAACAATGGCAAATTTTAGCCATCATTTGGAATTAATTTTATCAATAATTTTAGACAGAAATTACATAAAAACTTACCCGTTGGAAAATCGAATGGATAAATAATAGCAAAGAAGTCGGCCACAAATGTAAAAGGATGAAATCCTTCGTCTAGTTGAAGCTTTGGAATTAAGTAATTTTGCATTTGAGGTAAACTACTAAATTTTATTTGACTTTGATCCATTTCTTCAAACCACTCTATAGAATTACTTGCTCTAATAATATTCTCTGTTACTGCTGAAGTTAGGGTACTGTTTATGGAATTTTCCTGTTCTTTTGGTATTTCCCTTGTTATTGAAAATGTTTCAAACTTAGTAGCTTTAGTAGTTTTTGCTAATATCGACATGTCATTGACAAATATTGTATCATTGGATTGTCCTGTTTTATCCACTTTTTTTGAATTTTTTAAATTATTATATTTATCTATCCATGCCTTTATTGCTACTGAATTCACCCCATCCTTATCTCTTTTATCCCAAACATTTCCTCCAATTCTATTATTATGAACTTGCAGATTTTTAGCCACTTCCGACTGTCGTTGAGGTTTGAAATTCATTTTATTGTGTTCCCTGTAAGATGATTCTAAACAATTTTCCCATATAACATTTAAAGGTGGCGGTAAATTTATGCCTTTCCTTAAATTGGTACTGTACATAGAATTTGCTGTTTTATTCTGTTTTATATCGGTTATCTTCGACGTCTTTAATAATTCAACATTTCCTTTATCTACTTCGTTATTTCTTTCATCAACTGAGATTTTTCCTGACGATAACGTAATTGGGGAGATTGCAAGAAAATTTTCTTCATGTTCTTCCAGAGATTTGCTCGTCGTGGTTCTAGAAACCTCATTTACTTTGTTTCCTGATGAAGCCGCGGCCATGATTTCCGATGTCGTCTGAATTTCTTTTAAAACGTCTCCTGAGTAGGTATTTTCTATTTTCACTTCGCTCACTGCATCCAATTTTGCTTCAAAGCATAACATTTCAACTCCATTGGTCATAAAAATTATAAGAAACAATGATATTGTCATTTTTTTTGTTTTAATTACATATGACGATTCACAACCGTTGAATAAGTGTTATTAGTTCGTCATGTGAAGGAAACTGTCCGCGGGTGGGTGAGGCATTGAAAGAGGATTTGTAGCACTTAACAGTCTGCCCAGCGACAGTATAAAATCGTATCATGTCGGCCACAGTATGTCTTTACTGGATTAGGCATAGAGTAATAAAAGTTTAGGTTAACATCAATTTAAAATATACCATTTTCGTCGTCATATTTTTTTCTTTATCCATATACGAATTATTTAAAATATTGATTACCTATGTTAAACAAAGGAGAATTAAACATCTAATTAAGAATAGAACATTTTCGAGCAAGGAACATTTTATTAGTATTAGTTAAAAGATTGCATTAATTTATCCTAAAGGAATAAATTTGCTGCCGTCCATTTAAAAATACTCTATTGACTATTTTACTCATTTACGAATTGATTTAAATTTCATCAATGTGTTCGATTTCATCGACGATAACTTTATTCATCTATTGAAATAAAAATTTGAACGCTCTGAAAATATTTGTTACTCTGTGAGTTGCGTCCTCCAATGAAGTGTTGCTGACTACGAGGTTATGGAGGGCGAGAAGTGAACAACAATGCTTTAATATACACATATTCATATTTAAATATAACAATAATATAGCAATCTTTGTGATATTTCAGTAATCTGTTTCGAATGTGTTAAACGAAGTTTTGAATCGTTATGAAATTTTTTAATCTGTGTATTTAAAAAATATGTATTTGCAATACTCAATTCATTAACCTGAGAGAGAAATATAAATTAAATGTTAAAATAATTTCATGTTATAAGTTATTCATACGTATACATAATTGGATTATAGGGCACTCTTGGAGGTTGCAAAGGGAATACGATGCCATCGCAAGACAACGGACTGGTTCACTTATAAGGCTTCATGTCATGTTCCTGCTAATTGATATATTTATGTTTGTTTAATCAAATCTATTTTTGTTCTTATATCAATATTGGATTATAATTATACTGACTTATTACAAGATGTTCATGGAACATAAACACATCTTGAAATTGCTTCAAACATTATCTTTATTGATGGCTTGAAATACCGTTGCCTGATTGAATCTTTTTAATGTTCAGAAATTCTATGTTTACTCAATTCACCTTTTTTATGCATTTTTTTATTATCAAATTACTTGCAAAAGCGTCGCCTTGAGGATTCTAAAGGAGGGAAGGGAATTGCCCCTCAAAAAATTCTAATACCTATATAAATTACTAAGAGTGAGATCATATAATACCCACATAAACCTACCTCAGATAATCTTCTGGTATAGCTTTAAATTTACAAAGAGTATCGTTACACCGAATGGTAGTTTCTTGAAATACTGAATTTAAATCAAAAGTGTTAAAGTTAACGTGTCTTTTCCTTTGAAGATAAAATGAGGGCACTCGGTCGTTAAGACGTATGTATGTGTGTTAAGTCAACACATCACTTTTCTTTAGTGCCGGGGTTTTGCGAGATTTTTTAAGGTAAATTGACTAGTCGCAGGTGGCTGGGGAAACGGGTCAGCGGGTCTCCGCGTCGTGTCATGTTCATGAGCCATCAGGGCTGTACTGTACAAGGGATTTTTTTTTCGGTTTAATTATTGATGATTAGATAATAATTTAATGTAACCATTATTGGTAAATGATGTTAAACATTTATGAGGTTAAATATGACAGAGCTTTTATTTAGTTTGCTTTAATATTCAGTACATTTGCGATCAGTATTCAACAGAAATGGCGACGAAAAATTTTGACATTAACAGCCGTTCATAGTCCTATACTCTAGAGACTTAAGAACAGAATTAAATTAAATAATCAATTAAATTAATTAAAAATTGAAAACTTGGATGTAGTTGTGAAAGTACATTGATTAGTTATAATGTATGTCGAATTATAAATAGTTTACCAAACATTTACGTATTTCCTACTTTTTTGTAAAAGTAAACCATACACATTAAGTCCCTCTCTGTAGGAATACATATTTCTATTAATTATGTTGACAAGTAGGGTGCCTCCCTGAGGGTGACCGCCGTCTTGGCCCATTGGCCTCGCCTCGTCTTCATTAACCTTTACATTCCAAAATCCGGCACGCAAAGTAGCGTGTAAGTGTTTGCATAAGTAAATTATTATTATCATAAACAACGCTTTTACGTTTTTTTTATATCACTTATAAATACAAAAGTAATAGAGAAATTCAAAGAAAACAAGGCCTTTTTGTTCACTGTATCACTTTAGCCATTTGTAAACTTTCCATAAATTAAAAGGAACAGTAATTATTTGCATAATATTATAAAATGTCTGCTACATTGTAAAATTAAATCAGGTTTTAAATTTTTGTATTTATAATTAAATTACGATTTTCGTCGTTTTCTTTTTTATTTAAAGCGGAGTAATTCAAACCTCGTAATTTTATTATGTTGAACATTAACTAAGAGGTCTTTAGAATATGTCGGTAATGAAAACACTCTAATTTCATTAATGAATGAGTTTACTCGGTTATTTCAACTCCATTCAGTGATACAATTTGCGGATTTAAAATAGGAAAGGGAATACGTTCAGAAATGGCAAATAAAATAAAAAGATATTTCATAGAGCAATGTAAATTCTTTTATTATAACAGGCTTAACTTATTTACGGAATCAGGTTAATGGACTACTGCAAGATGCAACAATTTACTTTTTATCCTACAAAAATGTTAAAAAATGCAATATATCGAATGGTACGTAGATGAGCATGTGATATAAAATACGTAACCGTAGGTATGAGTAAGAAAATGTATGTGTTCGTGTGTTTATGAAACTGAATATTGTAGGAGCTATTATAGAACTTAACCCACCTCCACTCTTTCTAATCCCATTTTTCATACACACCATTCAGGTATTCTGAAGTTACGTAGTGACATCAGTTTGGATTCAATATTTTACAATTAAAAAATTAAAAAGATAAGTCATCACAAAAATTATCATCTCTGCCATTGCTGTGTTACTTTACTACGAAATGTACCATCTAATAATATTGCCTTATAAATTAGTATTACTACCGACTTCGTTATTAACAGTAAATGCGTACACCTAAAACTAAATTATCGCACAACTGTGTAGTCTCGCTTTGATTCCTATGAGTTTATATGGAGGTGTGCACACTACTCGATTTTTAGTTGTGCAACTAAACAGTTGAATTGACTGCGAATAAATCGACAATCTCATAAGTCGTGCGATAGTTTAGTAAAAGGTGCGCGCGCGATCTAACGCATTAAAGCTAATCCAACTAAGCTGGATTAATGCTACAACGTTTAGTAATATGCATACTTAGACTTAATTAATGTGAAGGGAGAGAATCTGTAGCTTAAAATATTATCATAGCTCAAACAACGCGTAACCACATCGTATGTTATAATTTTTGTATTCTCTGCGAATGCATATACCTACAAATATCGATTTAAATACAGGACTGAAAGAATTTTTAAAATTGTTATATATAAATCATATTTCATACTAATATCATAAATGTGAAAGTTTAGATGGATGGATGGATGTTTGTTAGAGTTTGTAGCCTAAACTGCTGAATGGATTTCGATGAAATTTGGTATAGATGTAGAGGATAGTCTGGAAAAACAC